AGATTTCGAGAAGTGATGGTGGACGGTATATAACATTGAACAGTATGTACATAATATAGTAAGTGGCACGCAGACTTTACACAATATTAGGTGCCATAAAGAATTATGATGATCATTTATGCTGCRTGTACCATGGCGTCACAAATACCCGTAGCTAGTGATGGATCTAGTGGCGGCAGAGGGTCGCCGAAGTGGCGGTGGTGGTGACGACTGATGGTCACGTTCACAGTGGCGACGCCGGAACAACAGCGTGGCGACGTCTTGGTCGTCGTCGTCGTAATCGTCAACGACGCTGCTTCCGCCATTGCCAAACCCTCCAACGCTGCCACTCCTGTGGCCKCGACCGCGACGGCGCCGGTCGCCGACCGGTCTTGGAAACACGTCCGACTGGGTCTCCCAGCACGGCGCCCGAGCTGCGTCCGGCGGCGGCACGATTCCCAGCGGCAGGCAGCTGCCGTACGGAATGTACCCCTCTTCGGCATGTGGCGTCTGGACGTACARCCACTGTTCGTTCTTGAACACCGCGTTCACCACCATACCGAGCGGTAACGCCACCTCCGTCTGGTAATGGTCGTCGAGCTGCGTCTGGTACAGCAGACATCCCGTGCACAGCACCATTGGTATGTTGCCCGGTCGACCGATCGACGACTGTGWGAAGATATCGTAACATAATTATTAATAAYAATATAAAAATACATTAAAACAATAATATTAGTATTGCAGACGCATGGTGATACTGAGTTAAGGCCCGCTTTCCCCTTAGTATACAATATATTGTGAGAAATATTACTAGAAATTACTTTACACTGAAGAAGAACTTTGTGTTTTAGAGTAAGAGTACATTTATATCTAGTGTCAAACACATTTGATAAATAATAATAATAATAAATTAACGACAGTAAGAAAAAACCAAACTGAATTCAGCTAAAATAGTTGAATATAATAAGAAATTTGAAAAAGATAAAATATATAATAAAAGAAAAAATCACATTTTAATACTTAGATGGTTAAATATTATTGCAGTAGAACTATTTTATTTTTATTTAAAATTTGTATAATTATAAATTTATAACAAACTAGTAATTCCTTTGGAATTGTATTTAGGAACCTATTAATCTAATCTGTAAGAAAGATATTGATGGTTTTTTGGTGTTAACAAACGGTATTTCAATTTTTTTTTTTTGGAAGTTATACACTTTATTATTTATATCGAACAAATTATTTTTGTAAATAAATCATATTGCCTGTTTTTTATATGTTTTGTCTATATCAATTACTCTTAATAATTTAAATAAATAACATGAAGGACATTTTTTTGGTTTGTTTAAAATAATTTTTACTATGCACTTTTGTTTAATTAACAGCTTATTTTTTAAACTGGCATTGCAAATTTGCAACCACCTCAAGCTATTAAGCCGTACTGAATTATTGATTGTGCCATTGCGAAGTATGTCATTTTGGCAAGGCTTTTATTTAATTTTTTTTTTTTTTTGCTATAATAAAGTGTAAGATAGTTGTCTTATTCTAATTATTAAATTATCTATATGAACTCTCCATTTTAAATTTTGGTCTATTGTTATGCCAAGGTATTTAACTAAAGAGCGTTTTATTAATTTTTAGTAGGCGCATGTTATGGTGTAGCAATTAATTTTTTTGTGGATAGTAATCTCGCTTTATAGAGATGCTGTTCTTATGTCATTAAAAAGGCTATACATTTGGATTTATCATAATTTATCTTTAAATTATTATTCGAAAACAAATTATCAATTATTGACATATCTGCTTCAAATTTTTGCCAAAATGAATCCCACCTATAAGGCTATAATAGTCTTGTTTTAATTGCCTTTTCAAATATTTAAATATTTTAGAAAATATATTTAATAGACTAATCGGTATATAGTTGGTTATGTTGGTTTTTAGCCCATTACTCTTATACAATGGCACTATTAATGCATTTTTTAATGAGTCTGTGGCATATAATACACAGATTACCGTATTATATAGAATACATATTGATATTACTGATTATTAATGTTATTATTATTATTATTATATTTATTATTTTTAGTGATATTACTGATTGCCCCCACACCATTTCCCACCACCATAGTTTTTT